TTTTTTTAAGTAAAATTTGTTTAAAAGATGCTTTATAAAATAATTCTAAAAAATAATTTAAAAATCTAATTGAAATGTAAAAATAAGCCTATTAATCTATTAAAAAAAATTTAAACTAAATAAATACAAAAATAGGTGGGCAGACCTACCGCCTGCCAACCTGCCACCTTGGCGGGGTGGGGCGGGCTACCTGTTTTGCCACCCCTATTCTATTCACCATCCTTTCCTTCCTCGTCTTCATAATGCTTGGAGGTTTAGTGACATAAACCTCTTCACTCAATCATCCATTCAAATAGGCAGATTTCACATCAAGATGAAATGTTAACCAATTTCTCTTGCAAGCCAAAGTTATTACTAACCTGATTGTTTCCAACCTTGCAACTGGGCCATAAACCTCAAAGTAATCAAGACATTCTCTTAGTAGAAATCCTCTTGCTACTGGCCTAGCCTTGTGTATAGAAATTGAACCATCAGGGTTATGTTTCAGCTTATATGCTCACTTTAACTCAATTTGTTTGGTATTAACTGGAAATTTGACAAGCTTCCATGTATTACTTCTCTCAATGACTGTCAATTCATCAATAATTGCATATTTCTATGCTTCATTATGGTTGATAGGTTCAACATCTACTAGTAATGCACAATGAACAAGATCTTCATCTTCTTTGACTTTATTATCACCAGTCACCTCATAATCTTGTATTCTTGCTAGAGTCATCCTTGTCCTTTGAAATCATTGACTCACATAAGGAACATTTTCAACGATTTCTTCTGGTGAAGCATCATCTGACTCATTGTTTTCTTCATCCAAGCTTGAGTTCAAAAAAGGCTTGATATTTTTGTTATAAGATTCCCAATTCCATGTCTAATTTTCATAAATGATGATGTTTCTGTTGATTATTATCTTTCTAATTATTGGACTAAACAATTTATCAGCTCTAGTTTTGTGATAACCAAAAGAATCATGGCTTCACTTTTGTCATCCAACTTCTTCCTTCTAGCATCAGACACATGGTTATGACAAATTAAGCAAAACACTTTAAGATGATTCACTGATGGTTTCTTGTCACTGCATATTTCTTATGGAACCCTGTTATTCAATCTTCTTGTTGGACACAAATTCAATACATATGCAACATTTGTAACCGCTTTTCCCCATAGTGAGTTAAGAATACCCTTTTACTTTAGCATACACCTAGCCATATCTAGAATGCTTATTTTCCTTCTCTCAACTATACCATTTTTTAAAGGGGTATATGGAGTTGTGACCTCATGATCAATTCCATGTTGTGCACAAAATTCTTCAAATATCTTGGAAGTGTATTCTAATAAATCATTTATTCTAAAGACCTTGATCTTCACGTCACTCTGATTTTGCAAAAGCAATTTGAATCTCTTAAAAACTTCAAACACTTTGTTTTTGTGCTTTATCTGGTACACCTAAAGCTTCCTGATATGCTCATCCACAAAGAAGACAAAGTATATGTTCCCACCAATGGTGTGATCCTCAAAAGACCACAAACATCTAAATTAACTACATATAGGAAGATAGGACTTGAAAGCATTCTTGGATTTCTTTCCCACCAATAAACCTTCACAAAGTTTCTCAGGCATTAAAAAATTTAGCATACCAATCACCATTTCTTGTGGCACCAGTTGATTGAGTGATCTGAAATTTAAATGGCCAAATCTCATATTCCGCCACCAACTTTTACTACAACGGAAAACACATATCACAATGATTGGAAAGGGGATACCACCATGCTGGAAAAACCATTGTGAGATAAGGTGTGATTGTAAGTATGATGCTTTCCACCACGGTCGTGCGACCATGATTATAATTATGTAACGCGCTATCTATCCCAAGGGTTACTTTAAACAACTACTGTGATATTCTGTAATGCATAATATTTAACAACAGTTTATCTAAACAAGCAATGTGATATATACATTGATTTTATTATAAATCATGTCCCAATGCTCACTAAACATATAACCTTTTAATTTGAGCAAAAGCATTATAATATGACAAATTAAGTTATATTAGAAGAACAAGCTCACGTTCAATGCTTGACAAGAGTTCTTCAACTTCTTATCCTCATTTTTGTCTTTAATAGTTATAACTTTTTTAAATATCCTAATTCTTTAACCGCCCATGCCTTCACCTCTAGTTCATTTCGCAAAATATTATTTACTATGCAAACAAAATTAGAGGTGGGGAGGGGGTGATTGAAGAACTACAATCATTAACTAAATTTCTAATAGTTAAAGAACAACAAGCAGATAATGGATTGAATAATTCTTGTCAAGTATTGAACGTGTACGTGTTTTCTAATATAACTTTATCTATCATATTATAATTTTTAATGCAATATGAAAAGTTATATATTCGATAAGGGATTACAAAAACATTTAAACCACATAAGATATAATAAACACACTTTCTAAACAAACATTAACAATAACATTCATAAACAACATTCATCAACAACAAATAATAAATGATACAACATACATATCAAGTCATAGAATGTTTCAAAAACATACATGTCCCATAATGGCGTGTCCACAATGAAATAAGGATGAAACTGAAGTTAGAGTTGCAAACATGTTTCTATTTTTAATGGATGTCAATTTGGATCTTTAACACAAGTTTGCAATGCTCAATTTAGATTCATCCTTGTTATTGAAACAAACATCCCTACTTACAAGTTCAATAAAGCAAAAAGTTCAAACATTATGAAACAAACTATTGAAACATAAACAATAATACATAAACAGATTTTGAAACAAAAACTATAGTGAAAATGAACCTGTAAAGTATCTATTGGCTAAGATTTGATGCAACAAGTGTATCCTTCGAAGAAGATGAGTTGACTGCATAAATTTGGGGTTTCCATATGAGAGAGACGGGTGATAGAGATGTTAGGGTTTTGTTTTGAGAGAGACGAGTGAAAGAGATGTTGGGGTTTTGTTTTGAGAGAGAGACAAATGTTATGTAATGAATCGAGAGATAATTCTGCTTATATAAAAATAAGTAGCACCTTTCACCATGATTGACAATATGAACTGTGATGAAATGATTGAAACTTAAGCCACTGTTGATTATAAAAACTGTGGTGATATACAAGGTCAATCCCATTATGTCACGATAAATGGAAAATTATTGGTGTTGGGATTAGAACCATTTGAATCCAGGTACATTTCACTATGATTGGTACCTATGACTGTTGTGACATGTCCTTCAATAAATAGCAAAAAAAAAAGCCTAAATAAAAACTGTTACCACGATTAACAATACAACCGTTGTAAAATTGGTGTTACAAAATGCCTATTTTGTAGTAGTGTTTGTTTGTTTTCAACCATAGATTGCATGCATTGAACCTCTATAGAGCTTATTAGAGACTTGAAGGTCCTATTTTTAATTTTTTAATTTTTTTTTTAATTTTTACAAATGAGACCTCATGACTAGCTTGTTGGTTGGATAACAAAGTTCAAGGACCTCATTCTTCATTATTACTAAGAATACTTTCTCAATAAGTTGACTAACACTCAGAATGTTACACTTCATACCTAGCACATATAACACATATTCAGTTATTGTTGACTTGCCATTGCTTCTTGTACTTACTATGTTGCTTATTCCTTGTGCTTGTAGTGATATTGTATCAACGAGTCTTATCTTACTTCTTTTTGACTCAACAAACTTAATCAACCATGACTTATGACCAATCATATGATTTGAGCAAAATGTGTCAAAGAACCAAGTCTTTGAATTTATACACTAATCTAAAACTGCATCCATGAAGACCATGTTTTCAGAACCATCTGAGTCATCATGTGTTATCTTTGCTTCATTACCATCTTTATATTTAAAGACTCATTTTCCATTTGTTATACGAACAGTCCTTGTCCGTGTGACCCCATTTCTCATAATTAAAACATTGTATATTTCTTATCGAATTTTTCTTTATGATGAGAAGTCCATCATCTTTTAGAAAATTCAGATTTGTTATCATTTTTCTGCTAATGAGAATGAGGTTAAGAGCTCTTATTTTAATTACTTTTGTCAAATTTTCTTTTGTGCTTTCCACTTCCAACATGCCTCTTCTAGGTATGAGCCTGCAAAGTCTGAATGACTTCTTAAACTCATATTCTTTCAACAAATTTGCATCTCATAAGCTTCCATGTAATCTACTAGGTTTTCCATCTTCCTTGTGGAGAAAGTACTAGATTCATGAATGACCATAATAACATGATCAAAGTGAGAGGTCAAGGTTTTCATCACCTTTTAAATGATAATCTTGTCTTGTTTGTCATTATTTCACCACAAACTTTCATCAAGTGAACAAGATTTTGCACCTTTGACACATAGGTTGTAACTTTCTCAATTTCTCTCATCTACAGTAGCTCATATTGCCTGCGTAAAGACTACAACTTTACACTTTTGACTTTCTCACCTCCTTTTCAGTATTTAACAAGAATATCTCATATGTCTCTTTTGTGGATTCATTATGAATTATTCGATTGAAATGTGCACTATTAACTGCAAATTGGATGCAAAATGACGCCTTACAATCTTTCTTTTTGGAATCCTTGTAAAGGTTGTGTTGAGCTTCCGATGTGTTTGCTGCAAGCTTAGGAAAGCCACTAGTAACCACTTCAAAAGTATTTGAAAGCCAAATAGAGACTTTATTTGTTTGTGACAACGGTCTCAATTGTTGCCATCAAGAATTGAAAGAGAATGTGAAATTCGATTAACATCGTTCATCATTGAAACAGATGCAAGTCATTAACCTATAAAACACAACTTCTTCCCACGCGAATAAAAGGGCTCTGGATACCAATTTGTTAATGCAAACTTAAGTTGCAATTAAATAGGAGAAAAGATAATTTAGAGAGAATAAAAAAATATTGAAGTGTGACATTGGAATTGAATAGTAGAAACATTACAACCAATGTGTATATATACAAAGTGAGGTTACATGAGTTACATGGAGCTAACTAACTTCACCATTAATTACACCTGTAACAAAGGATGCAGTCAATACACCCAAAATTACACCTGTAACCCAAGTCAATTCGCGAGGTTTTTTAAAACCACCAGTGAGATACACGCGAAATACATGCAAGATCATCATTAATACCATCATACTTGCTGACCATCGATGAACTGATCGGATTAACCAACCAAAGTTAGCCTCAGTCATTATATATTGAACAGAAGCAAAAGCCTCCGTAACGGTTGGACGATAATAAAAAGTCATAGCAAAACCCGTCGCTACTTGGACTAAAAAACAAGTAAGTGTAATTCCTCCTAAACAATAAAATATATTTACATGAGGAGGGACATATTTACTAGTTATATCATCGGCAATGGCCTGAATCTCAAGACGTTCTTCGAACCAATCATAGACTTTATTGAGATAGGTAAACCAAGGGACCCCCCTTCGAACCGTATATGAAAATTTCATCTCGTACGACTCAAACAAAAAGACTCAAATACTGGTTATTTGGAAAACAGATATGTGTAATAGAAAGTTTGAAACTTCTGAAGTTAATCCTATGATTCCAGTCTTTTTTGAAGATCCAAAAAATAGAAATCTACAAGATATTCTTAGTGTTTATAATGCCAAAATTTCAAGTCGGCTCACTCGTCTTTTCTCTTGATCCTTACAGGCCTCTTGAATATTCTATTATTTACTTCATTTTTTTTGTATTGTGTATGTAATAAGATTTGACTTCTGTTTTTTTTTATTGATAAGAATTTTCTTGTTAAGACCCTATAGAATCAATGGAAAACCTGAGATTCATACCAGAACCACGATGATTTCCAAAAAAAACCTTTAATCGAAGTCCAAGAATTCCCTGAGTAAGAACTGCTAGATCATCACTTATTCAATTTCAATAAATAGATATAATGAAAAAAAAATACAAAGAAATGGATAAGCGGCGGCCGAATAAAATTCCATTTCTTTTTCTAAATGAATTCTTCTAACTCTTTCATTTTTTTTCGTCCGGTTGCGAGGTCTAAATATAAATATTAAGTATGAATCATAGTTCTAACACTTTAGAATCTATTTATTTTCTATATTTCGTGCTCCAGATACTAGAATAAATATCTGACGGGGTAAATCCATCTATCAAGATAAGATGACGTATCCATTTTATGTTCTGTACTATCAATAGGATCCATTATAACAAGTCACACACTCATATTCCGGAAATAGAGAAACAAAGAAGTTTCGCGGTCCAACTACCAAATCAAAATGGAATGGTCTAAAAATGAACGATCTAAATGCTAAACTTGACTTTTCTATTGAAAAGCTAGTTAGTTGGTTTTTGTGAATCGAATTCTCTAATTCATGGAAATTTGGTCCAGTAAAAGGGACGAATTATAAATCTCTAAAATAATAGAGAGAAATACCGCAAATAGGGCCATTGCAACCCCCATCCAAGGGGTAGTTCCCCACCCCGGAGCTACTTTACCATATTCTGAATTCAATGGTTTCAATAAATCTCTTACAACAGTTCGTCTTGGACCAGATCTAGAACTACCCTCAACGGTTTGTGTAGCCATAAATCCTATTTTTTTATTGAGATCTGTTGACTTTGTATACCATTCCGCTGTAGATAAAGGATCTTACCCTATAGATCCATTGTAGTCTTGATATTATAGAATCATGGAAACAGCAACCCTAATTGCCATCTCTATATCCGGTTTAATTGTAAGTTTTACTGGGTATGCCTTATATACTGCTTTTGGGCAACCCTCTCAACAACTAAGAGATCCATTCGAAGAACATGGGGACTAGTTGAAGTAATGAGCCCCCAATATTACGATATTGGAGGCTCATTACTTCATTCAATTGAGATAATTCTCAATCATTTCGTGTTTTTAGTGGGAACTTTAGGGGGTTCTCTAAAAAAAATAGCGAAAAAAATGATTCCTAAAGTCGAGACTAAGAGGAATGTATAAACCAATGCTTCCATAGATTTGATCGTGGTTTACAATTATAGCTTTCATACCTGTTTTGGGGGATTATCTCCTGGATAAAGAAAAAGAAAGAACAAGAGTAAAACAAAATGGAATCAAGATTTATCTAGTTCCCTAATATCAAATTCACATAACAAAAAAAAAATCGAATCGAAAAGGAACAAACCTATTTCTATCAGACTCCCTATTTTTTTGTAGTTGGATCTCCAAGTTTTTGGAATACTCCAAATTCTACTTGCGCATCCAAATCTGGATCAATACCAGCAAAAACATCTCTGAACAAGGTTCTAGCACCATGCCAAATGTGTCCGAAAAAGAAGAGCAGAGCAAACGAAGCATGTCCAAAAGTAAACCAACCCCTTGGACTGCTACGAAAAACACCGTCCGATTTTAAAGTAGCACGATCTAATTCAAAAATTTCACCCAATTGAGCACGTCGAGCATATTTTTTCACAGTAGCAGGATCGCTATAACTGACTCCATTGAGTTCGCCACCATAGAATTCAACAATTACACCTACTTGTTCGACACTATACTTTGATTCTGCCCTTCGAAAAGGAACATCTGCTCTAACAATTCCGTCTCCGTCTACCAAAACAACCGGAAAAGTTTCAAAAAAGGTAGGCATACGACGTACAAAAAGTTCATGCCCCTCTTTGTCTCTAAAGATAGGATGCCCTAACCAACCAACCGCTATTCCATCTCCATTGTCCATTGAGCCCGCTCTAAACAAACCCCCTTTTGCCGGATTATTACCGATGTAATCATAAAAAGCTAATTTTTCAGGAATTTTAGACCAAGCTTCTGATAAACTTTGATTTTCGACTAGCCCACTACCAACTCTTCGATATATTTCTTGCTGGAAGTATCCCTAATCCCATTGATAACGAGTAGGACCAAATAATTCAATCGGGGTAGTTGCTGAACCATACCACATAGTTCCAGCAACAACAAAAGCTGCAAAAAATACAGCAGCGATACTACTGGAAAGGACGGTTTCAATATTTCCCATACGCAATCCTTTGTATAAACGTTGAGGTGGACGCACACTAAGATGGAAAAGACCCGCTAATATGCCCAATGTCCCTGCTGCAATATGATGAGAGGCTATTCCCCCCGAAACAAAAGGATCAAAACCGTCCACACCCCATGCGGGATTTACAAATTGTACCCTTCCTGTTAGTCCATAAGGATCGGATACCCATATTCCAGGACCAAACAATCCTGTTACATGAAAGGCGCCAAAACCAAAACACGCCACCCCTGCAAGAAATAAATGAATTCCAAATATTTTTGGCAAATCCAAAGAAGGTTTTCCAGTACGTTCATCACAAAAGATTTCTAGATCCCAATAGACCCAATGCCAAATAGCCGCCAAAAAGCACAAGCCCGAAAACACAATATGTGCCGCGGCCACACCTTCGTAACTCCAAATACCCGAATTTGTTATAGTGCCTCCTGTAATATTCCAACCACCCCACGAATTGGTTATTCCTAAACGAGTCATGAAGGGTATAACGAACATACCCTGTCTCCACATTGGGTCAAGAACAGGGTCAGAGGGATCAAAAACTGCTAATTCATATAGAGCCATCGAACCGGCCCAACCAGCAACCAGAGCTGGATGCATTATATGGACAAAAAGTAAACGGCCGGGATCATTTAATACAACGGTATGAACACGATACCAAGGCAAACCCATGAAAATACCCCTTATATTAACAAAAAATAGACACTATGTAACTTTATTGCACTGTAAAAAACTATGCTTGCTATAGACCCTCCCCTTAATTAGTATTAGTAAATTATCTCACATTAAAGAATTTATATTTGTTCGAGTTTTTTAGAAACAAAGGAGCATTCTATTCGTAGGAACAAAAAGAAGCAGATCTATTCTATATCCGATAAGTAACAATACGCAATGGTGGTGGGGGTTTACTTTTTTTGATATGCGTGTTTATATCAGTGAATGCAGACAATGGATACTAATACAAGAACAACGAATTACACCTGTAACCCTTTCAAGTTATCTTTTTTTATTTTAGAGGGCAATATGAATGTTCTATTATGTTACATCAACACATTAAACAGATTCTATGATATATCTGCTGTGGAAGTAGGTCAACATTTCTATTGGCAAATAGGGGATTTTCAAGTGCATGCTCAAGTACTTATTACCTCTTGGGTTGTAATTGCTATCTTATTAATTTCAACCATTCTAGTTGTTAGAAATCCACAAACTATTCCCACGTCTGGTCAGAATTTCTTTGAATATGTCCTTGAATTCATTCGAGACGTGAGCAAAACTCAGATTGGAGAAGAATATGGTCCATGGGTTCCGTTTATTGGAACTCTGTTTCTATTTATTTTTGTTTCGAATTGGTCAGGGGCACTTTTGCCTTGGAAAATTATAAAGTTACCTCATGGAGAGTTAGCTGCATCCACAAATGATATAAATACTACTGTTGCATTAGCCACATTGTAACCGAATCTAATTTCTATATCACATAATGTTGAATTATCTCACAACAATCTGATTTTGACAATGCATATTAAACATAATAGTTGTATAATTTTTTTTAAAAATTGATTTAATTTAAAATTAAAATTTATATATATATATATATATATATATATATATATATATATATATATATATATATATATATATATATATATATATATATATATATATATATATATATATATATATATATATATATATATATATATATATATATATATATATATATATATATATATATATATATATATATGTGTGTGTGTGATTTTTAATCTGAAAATTATTGTTCGGCTCACTTTTGTTAAAATTTATTTAAACACACATTATTTTATCTTTAAATTAATTAGAATCAAAATTTCAAAATCCATAAATTCAAAATCAAATTCTTTTCATCTTAAAACAAATACATGCTTAGCATTGCCAACCAATTGACAACTGATTCCTAATATCGAATAAATTATGTGTCTGTGTATACTACGGAACAAATTTTATATTCACATGCAATTTAAGAAGAAAAAAATGTTTAAAAAATTAATTTAATCGATTTATATTTATATTAAAAATTTAATTGATATTCATTGAGAATAAATTTTTTTTATATTGTCAATTAATTATGTAGGTTGATTTATTTAAAACATTTGATTTTTATTTTAACTGCTTAAAAAATTCTTGTAATTCTCTTTGAAGATAAGAGACAGCACAATACAGTGTGCCACATGCACAGATAAAAGTACTTACATAATTCACGATTTCTACTGTCACTATTTTGTATCGATATTAATATACAAATACTGCCAAAAACGCTATTATCGTGCTATTTTGTCGTGTCACCTCGAAAAATAAAACTCTTGTCACTAGTTACACTAGTTTATTTTATTTCTTTTCAAGAACAAAATACTACTATTTTATGATTTTACCCTACCACCTCTTGCTAACATCTGCATTCAAATTTTACATTGAGTAAATTAAGCATTAAAGCATAGTACATGAATGATTATACTTTCCTCTCATTAATTTCAGATCCAATTGCTGGCCAAAATTGTGCATTCTTCACCTTTGATATGCTTTCCAACACACTCGATGGAGTCACGTTTCCAACTACTGTCACCTTCTTTGCAGCAAAATCTATGTTAAAAGAACTTACTCCTGCATATATTTACATACAAATCAACCAGATTAACATCTTATATTTATATTCCACTCTCAAAATGTGTGACATTTATTAACCTTGCATTTTAGAGATGTGTTTTCTCAGCTTCCCTTCACATCCTTTGCAATGCAAAGAAACCCTTAGTACTACTACCTGCTCAAATATACAAGATAAGATTCACGGACACAAACACGGACATTAAATATGACACTGACATTAACGTCGATACCAGCAATAATTTGAAAAAATAAAAAACGAAGTCGTAGTGCTGCATGAAGATAAAATAAAACTAACCTGGTCAGGTTTAGATGCAGGATTGGCTTCATCTTGACCACCAAAAACTTCATCGGTTTTATTAACAACCTTACTCATTGCTCTATCACCGAGCAAAGATCTAGTTGAACCATGTGGAGTGATTGAATTTGAATCAGCAGGTAACTTAACCAATCTCCTTTTCAGAATAGAATCAACCGGCTTAGAGCTTTTGTTGACATGTTCAGCGACGACATTATCTTCTGTACTTTTTTTCTTCTTCTGCTCATAAACTCTAGCTCCGTTTGACTTTGAGGAAGTAAAAAAACTTTTCTTCTTGGGGTCAATGGGTGGCTGAGAAGAAGAACATGGAGCACTGATAGTTTTGGAAGTGCTTCTTCTTGAATCGTTGATAATAGGATTATGGCGATCGATGACTCTTCCTCCTAGTTGAATGGCATTGGAAGAGGAACATGAAGCTTGTTCCATGCTAAGACATATTGCTGTTGATGCTTGTGAAGCACAGAAGATATCCATTCTTTTCATCTTTTGGATAATGAAACAATGAATATGTGGTTCTTAGAGAATCTGTAGATAGCTTTGCAGAGAGAAGGTGGAGTTGATATAATAAAGAGAGATAACTGTTACCAAAGTAGTACAATATAAAAGCTTCGTTGGCACTGATTTTTTTTGTTTTTTGGGACAGAGAGTAAAAGCTTGAGATAGAGGAACTTAAGCCTCATGTAAGATTTATCTCCGCTAGACAGACAAACGGACAACAAATTGCGCTGTTATGTTTTTTTGATGACAAAATTTACTCTCTTATAATTTAAGTTGAGTGACTTAGGAGATACAACACTTCTATGCATGAGTGTTTGGCCTCTCAGTTGATACCTTTGTCACTCGATTTGTTGTGGGGACTTGAACTATAAATAACACACCTAAAATAATATCAACAAATTTAGGTTGTTCATATAGTTGTCAATTGTTTTAGCATGTCAATAGTAATGATGCACGTGCATTAGAAACAAAATGTCATAAAAATGAATGAATGCAAAATTTGAAAACTTTGTAAGGACATAGATGAATGTCCTCAATGACCATATCCTTAATGATGTTTTTTGCAGCCTATTAAAATGTGTGGGGATAGGGGTTGTAGGATTACCAAGTTTATGTTAAAAGAGACATCAATATAAAGTGGTCTTTTTTGAGATACAACCAACATTTCTATTGCTTTAAAGAATGAAAGTGATGTATAATGAGTACACAAAATTAAACTATCATACTCACCCTAAAAGTTTATTTGTCAATTGTGAATTAATTTCTGCATACTTTTCGGTGCCCCTAGCTCGAAAGGTCCAATTTCTTTTTCCAATCTAGATGGCCCTCTATCGGACTATTGCAAACAACAATACTATGTTTTATTCACACCTTCAGCCCATGTTTTTGCAAACCCTCCAAAAAATTCATTTTAGTGATTTTTATCGATTGAATTATGGTGGGCCTTCTGGGCCTATCTCAAAGGGCAAGAAGAAGTTGTCAATTTTTTTGGTGGGGCCTCATTTGGTTTCGGGTTGTGATTTGGAGTGCCTCTCACCTTCGGTTGAAGAGATAATTAAGCTACCTCCCACACCCTTATCTTATCTTAAATCTGTTGAAGTAGAGGGTATAAAAAGTTGCTTGGAGCAAGATTCATGGGTTTTTTAGTTGAAGAACGGGCGTCAAACTCTCCTTTTGGACCTGTCTCAAAGCAACAGGCTAAGGACCTTTCCACTCCTTATATGGATTCAGATATTTCTATTCCTCTAACTCTTATTTGTTTTTGTTTACATGATAGTATTCCCCAATCTTTTCTTGATGAGGGCTTCAGTTCATAGATGTTGTTGTTTTTCCCTGTCTCTCTTGTTAGTGAAGTCATATTCCTATGTCATTTGGGATTCTTATTTCTCTCGATAGTAAGAAAGAGACAAGGGTCCTCAGAGAAGCTAAGAAATTAGGGTGTACCTTTCTTCTAAGTGATGAGAAAGATGTTAAGATATTATTGGGTCTTGAGTCTAGAGATAGGCAGCTGAGGTCTACTAGAATTTCCAAGAGTTATGTGATGTTGATTGGGTCTTTTAATTCCCATGGTTTGGATAATAGGATAAGAAATAGTAAGGTTAAAGATCTCATATCCTCAAAGTCTCAAGAGTTCCTTGCAATTTAGGAGACTAACTTTTTTGAAATCTCTCCCTCTTTGGTTCATTCCCTTTGGGGGAACCCTTTCTTTGACTGGAGTTTTTCACCATCTATTGCTAATAGTGGTGGTCTTCTTTCAATTTGGTGTAGTTTGAAAGGGTCTTGCTTGTTTTCCTTTGTGGGTTCTGGTTACCTTGGGGTTTTTCTAGAGTAAGGGGCTTCCAAGACTAAGTATATGGTCATTAATATTTATTCCAAGTGCAAACCTAGTGAGAATAAGGCTCTTTAGAGAGACTTACTTCTTATGAGGGTCTCCCTTGAGGGGAATGTGTGGTGTGTTCTAAGAGATTTTAATTTTTGTTTTTCCCCCTTATGAGTGGGCCCGTGGTGATTCCTCTTAGCATCGGGCTGGAGATTCGCTCTGTGTTGAGTTTAGTATTTTTATCTCCCAAATGGAGTCATGTGATCTTTCAATTTTAGGAAGGAACTTCTCTTAGTTCCACCTTAAAGGTAAGTTTTCTAGTCGTTTTGATAGGATCTTTATTTTCTGAGGATTGGTGGGAGTTGTAGGGAACTACTTTCCAGTGGGCTCTACCTATAGAAGAGATGTTTCTGATCATTACCCGATCATTCTCAAGTATTCCAACCAGTTTTGGGGACAAAAACATTTTCGATTCTATAACCATTGGCTCACTCATCCTCAATTACCTGGAGTGGTCTCTGATAGTTGCTCTAGCTCTTTTTCCCTGGGTGGAAAGCCTTTGTCCTTAAATAGAAACTTAAAGCCCTAAAAGGGCCTTGAAAGTTGGAACCATCAAGTGTTTGGTATTCTTGATTCCCAAATTTAGTCCCTTATGGAGGTGGTGAGCTCTCTTGATTTGAGAACTAAGCATGGTGATGTTTTTAAGGAGAACATGGTTACGAGGAGTAAGGCTTCCTTGGACCTTTGGTCCCTCATCTAGATTAAGGATTCCCTGCTTGCTTAGAGGCCTAGAGCAAGGTGGCTCAAGGAGGGAGATTCCAATGCGGGATTTTTCCATGCCTGTATTAAGAGTAGAAGTAGGATAAATGTTATCCTAGCTCTAAAAGTTTGGGATGTTTGTATTGAAGAGGTTTATGATATTCACCAGGTTGTGGTAGATCATTTCTCTAATCATTTTAGGGATCCTATGATGATCTTCCTCGGTTATATGGGGTCTCTTTCCATTCTATCTTTGTAGAGGATGAGGCTAACCTAATACACTTTTCCTCTTATCTGAGATTGATCGAGGGGTTGCTCTTTGTGACGGTAACAAGAGTCCTAATCCTGATGGGTGTAATTTATCCTTTTTAAGAGATTTTGGCCCCTTATGAAAGAAGACTTTGGTATGATGTTTGCTCAGTTCCATCATTTTTCCACTTTTCCCCGCAGTTTTTCCTCTTTCTTTGTTACTTTGATTCCAAAGGTTGATGCCCCTTCTTATTTAAGAGATTTCAGACCTATTTATTTGGATGGGTATCTTTATAAGATTCTTTCCAAGGTCTTGGTTTCTAGGCTCTCTAGCGTCATGGATAAACTCTTCTCACCTGGTTAGTCTCTCTTTCTAAAAGGTATACCCCTAGTGGATGGGGTGGTTGCTGTGAATGAGCTTGTGGATCTTGTCAAGCATAGTAGGAAATCTTCTCTTCTCTTTAAATTTGATTTTGAGAAATCCTATGATTCTATTAGCTAGTTTTTATTAACTATATGCTCCCTAGATTTGGGTTTAATGACAAGTGGAGAAGTTGGATTAGAGCATGTGCGTTTGTTGGTAATCTTGTGATATTAGTTAATGGTTTCTCTACCTAAGACATTAGTATTTAAAGGGGGCTGAAGTAATGTTCCCCATAGATCCCTTCCTTTTTCTCCTTGTGGATGAAGGCCTGAGTGGTCTAGTTTCTAGGGCGGTAGAGCTGTATCTTTTGTCTAGAATTAGAGTTGGGTCCTCGTACTTGGTGGTATCCCACCTCCAGTATGCATATAGCATGATTATATTGGTCGATGCTACTATTGAAAACCTCTGGACCATTAAGGATTTTCTCTGTGGTTTTGAGCTCACCCTAGGCCTTCGTTTGAACTTTGCCAAGAGATATCTTATTAGGGTCAATTTTGGCAAGAATTTCTTAGATCTCCCTTGTGAGTTCCTCCAATCTAAGAAGGAGCCCGTCCCATTCAAGTAAATTGGGCTCCCGGTTGGAGCCAATCCCCATTCAGCGGCTACGTGGGAACCTCTAGTTAATCTCTTATCTAGGAGGCTTCTTTCGTGGAAGCATATGTATGTGTCATTGGGAGGGAAAGTGATCCTTCTTAACCCTATTCTTAATGCCCTTCCTATTTTATTCTTACCTTTCTTAAATATTCATGTCAAGGTTTGGAAGAAGATAATGAAAATTCATATGAGGTTTCTTAGCGGAAGAGTGAAAGGGTGTCTAAGATTTCCTGAGTTAAGTGGGAGAATGTCTGAAAGCCTAAGAAGTTAGAGGGCCTCGGTGTTCAAGACCTTCAGTAGGTTAAATTGGCTCTATAGGGTAAATGGAGGTAGCGTTTACTCTATGGGGCTTCTAGCATTTGGCGTGATATTGTCGCGACTATACATGGTGTAGCCCTTACCTCTTCTATCTTAGGTGGGCGAGGTGGATGTCTTAGATCGGCCTCACCTTGGTGGAAAGAGGCCTCCCTTCTACGATCTAGAGTTGCTAACAACTTCTATTTGGTTCAAGGATGGACTTTCCTTTAAAACTAGTTATGGTCTCTTTACTTTCTTCTGGGATGATATATAGATTGGGGACTTTCCTCTTCGTCTTAGATTCCCTAGACTTTTCTCGCTCTCTGTTCACACTTTTAATTTTTTTGGGGAGGTAGATATATGGGAGGGGGAGAGTTTTAGATGGGACCTCAAATGAAGGATGCCTTTACTCTTTAATTATGAGTTGACCCTTTTTACCGATTTTTAATTTGTGATTAGTGTCTTCACTCTTTCTACTGAGAGTGGTGCGTGGAGGTGGCGTGAGTTGAGTGATGGAGTTTATTTTGTGTCTTCTGCTTACTCTTTTTTAATGGGTCATGTGCCCCATAGGTTGTCATGTTTCTACCATAGATTCACTTTTTCCAGCTATTTGATGTAGTCGGGCTTCTTCTAAAGTCATAATTTTCTCTTGGTAGCTCATTTAAGACCGTCATTCAACCAGAGTTAACTTACTTAAGAGAGGAATCCTTCTAACCTCCGAGACATTTTCTTGTCCCTTCTGCTCATTACACATTGATTCGTCTCCCTGTCTCTTTGTGACATGTGAGATTGCAACCTCGGTGTGGTATATGATCTTTACATGGTTGGGTGGTGTACTATTTT